CCTTCATGATGAAGATGAACTCACTCTGCATGATGAAGATGAACTCAGAGACTTTTCATGATGAAGATGAACTCTGAGACTCTTCATGATGAAGATGAACTGTGAAACTTCATGATGAAGATGAACTCTGAGACTCTTCATGATGAAGATGAACTCAGAGACTCTTCATGATGAAGATGAACTCAGACTCTTCATGATGAAGATGAACTCAAGACTCTGCATGATGAAGATGAACTCAGAGACTCCATGATGAAGATGAACTCAGAGACTCCATGATGAACTCTGAGACTCTTCATGATGAAGATGAACTGTGAAACTTCATGATGAAGATGAACTCTGACTCTGCATGATGAAGATGAACTCAGTGAGTCTCTCTGTCAGGACAGGCTGCCAGATTATAAAGTATTGCAGATTATTACAGATTAAAGGAAATAAACATGAGAAGAACAAATCTCTCAGTCTGTAAATGTTAGAGACAGGAAGAGGCGTGGCCTCATGCGTCCATCTGGTCACCTCTAAATGTTCCTGATTGGTGGAGAGGCAGGGGAAGCCATTTTATGATTGGCTGACCAGTTCAGAGACTTGCTGCTCCACCAGTTGAGAGGTCAAGGGTCAATCTCCTCGGGGACGATCGTGAGGATGATGTCTTCGTTGCCTCGCCTCACCACTGTACGCAGCTTGTCGTCACGCTTAATTGCGGCGCTGACATCGCTGGCCGAGGTGATGACTTCGCTGTTGATGCTGATGATGACATCACCCTCCTTTAGACCAGCTCTAGTGGAGAAAACACATGGCTGAATGAAACTAACTCAGAAGGAGGAAAAGAACAGGAATTTTTTTCATTCCTTTTCTAACAAGAGCCTGGTCCTGCACCGTGGGAGTACCACAAGGCTCTATATTAGATCCATTGTTTTTTGTTGTTGTTTTGTTTACTTATGTACATAAAAATCTCTCATCAGTTTGTGAGGATGACATGAAAATCCAAATGTATGCAGATGACACAGGTAAACATTGTTCATGGTGCAGCTTGTGGCTGAGCTCAGACACCTCATAAACACGAGGGGGAAAAACACCACTCACGCCTCGGCTGGAGTTCGGCTGATGACCTCGATGACGTACGCTCCTGAAGTGAGATCAGGGAAATCCGACTGCCTCTCCTTCAGATCCTTCGCCAGCCTGAGGAGGAAACAGTCCAGAGCGTGAGGTTTTTCCTCCAGCACACACAGCTCATACCAGCTGGACAGGCTGAAGGTTTTGATTCATCCTGGATCCCAACATGTCCTCCTGATGAACTCTGAGACTCTGGAGGGTTTCAAGTTTTAAAGAAAGCTCTGCAGCATCCACACACCACGGCCTCACATTCACTCCCTTCATTTTCAGCCTTGGCTTGCTCAGTTTTCTAACCAGAAGGTTCTGAAAGTTCACAGCTCTGAGGGGTTTTATTTGATTTTACTGCAAACGTGAGTAAAATGTCAGAACTTACGTTGGAGTGAGGCTCATCATCCTGACACCCATGTATTTCTTCATCGGTGACGTTTTACCTGAAAAACACAAAGATTTGTTTTGATTTTTATTTTGACATTATCGAATGTTTGAAATCCCTTAAAGAAATCAAAGTGGACAACTTCAGTTCCTGTTGCAAGATGTTCCAGGTGCAGGAGCTGAGTAGGAAAAGGCCTTTTGCCAAGTTCAGTCTGCAATGAAGGAACGCTGCAGGTAATGAAGTCCTGAGAGTGCATGTTGTAACTGCAATGACGATGTGACATGTGGGAGGAGCTATAAGCAGGAAGCTGACCAAGGAGGGATTTATAGATGAAGATGAACCAGTCTGTGTGTAGATAATGATGACCAACTGACCAAGGAGTACTGGGTGCAGTGGTGGGTACAGTAGTTACAACCAGTTATGAATCTTAGTGCACCATGATAGACAGCATCCAACATCTGCAAGCAGCTGGCAGGCGCATTCATGTAAATATTGTCAGCGTAGTCAATGGCCGGTAGGAAGGTAGAGGTTACAAGGTGTTTTCTGGCATTCAGGGTTAGGCAAGATCTATTTCTGAAAAAGAAACCCAATTTTAATTTCAGTTTCTTTATTAACTTTTCAATATGTGGTTTAAAAGAGGCAGCAAGGGGTGCAACTGGTAGAGCTGCTGCCTCTCAGCGAGCAGGTCCCTGGTTCAAATCCCGGTCCGGGTGCCTTTCTGGGTGGAGTTTGCATGTTCTCTCCATAACTCTAAATTGTCCCTAGGTGTGAGTGAGAGAGTGAATGTTTGTTTGTCTCGTTTGTCTAGAACCATGGCAGGTGCTGGAGTTCTGCTCCTCTGTGTGATGACTGTTTGGGCCATTGAAGGTAAATTATCAGGAGTTGGAGACTGGACCTAAATTTCTGTTCTGGGAACCAGAACATTTGAATCAGCTCCAAACTGAGCCAACTCTTTTGGCTCTCTGAAGACTGTAGGTTCTGGTGTGGTTCTGAATCGTCTCCTTGTAGAACTCTGCTGGTTTCTGTCTGCAGGATCCTGTTCTTCAGCTGCAGGAACCAGTCAAAGAGCTGAAGATGTGCTGCAGGGAGGACGAGGTTTGAAATCTCTCTAAACCATTTGGCTGCTTCTTGACTCCAATTTACTTCTTCTGACTTTAAATCCTTCTCCAGAAGGTTCTGTAAAGATGTTGAAGCAGGATGGGTTCTGTAGATCTGCTCTGCATCAGACTCCTCTGTTCTGACCCATCGGGCCAGAGGGGAACTTTAGACTAAAAGCAGTAAAATTAAACTGGGGCTTTAGGTCTAAAAACTCTTGTCTGGTTCTACCACAAAGACCGGATCAACACGTTCCGCTCCAGCTGATGAAACCGTTTTATCTTCTCAGTGGAACTGGAACCAAATGATGTGAGAGCTGCTCAGAGTGAGTTCCCTCCATGTGAGAACCTGACGGCCGCTGAATGCAACCTGCTTCACCAAGTCCAGGACCATCAGAACTCAACGGCTCCCCACAAAGACATGGAGCGAGCTGAAGTCCAGGAGATGTCCAAGTTGAGACCAGAGGAGGACCAGGAGGTGCTGCCACCCATTCTACCCCCAGAGCCACTGGAGCCTCATTGGACTCCACGCCCCATAACTCTGCCCCCCATAACTCTGGCCCCCCATAACTCTGCCCCCCATAACTCTGGCCCCCATAACTCTGCCCCCCATAACTCTGCCCCCCATAACTCTTCCCCCCATAACGTGGCCTCCTATAACGCGGCCTCCTTGGAGGACCTTGCCTCCTTGGATCACCATGCGTACCTTCCCACCTTTGGACCAGCTTGCAGTTGTGAAGAAGTCTGGCCCATGATGATGCGATGGCCCCTTCTGGCTCCTGATGGACCTTGGCTCACAGACTTTGGGAAGAAACCAGTTTACAGCTGGCATCACTGGAAGAGACTGAGGGCCAAGGCTGAGACCAGAATCCTGGTTGAACGTCTGTCCACACCCAAACTGTCTGAGTACTGAGGAAGAAATGACTGAATAAACCTCAAACTGAATTCTGGTGTCTTTGGGTTTATTGATTCTTTGTGACATAAACAGTAAAATTGACGACCTTCTTTCCAGCAGTGATGTCAAAATGAAGCTTTTTGAAGCATAGAGTCATTTTGAACCATTGTGTCATAAAGTGGTTCACTACCTGAAGCTTCATTCAATTCCCTTTGGTGACATCTACTGGCAGTAGCGATTGTTGCACCAACTGAAGTCCTGCAAATATGATGCACTTCTTGCGTAATTAATAGCACATATGTGTGTTGTACATGTGTTTTTAGTACCTCATTAAAGATTCTGAGTAATTTACCCATATAACTGTAGGTTAATTTAAATTAACCTACATTAACTGCTGATCCACATTTCTTCCATAACTCTGCACGGTTAGCCTACACACCTGTTAAAGGTGTTCAGACCAGCCTTCCCTCTACAGTCATGTGTACGGGCTGTGTCAGGAGGAGGAGAGGGTTGAAGTGAGGAGACTTCAAACTCTGTAGAGCAGCAGGTGACAACTTTTGTCCACTCCAAGGGAATAGAGGCAAACAACAAAACCATCGTGCCACACTCCCCCACAGAAAAACAACACAGGAAAACCAGTTATAATAAGATTTACTAACAGAAAGCATAAAATGGAACTATTAAAAACAAGGGAGAAAACTAAAGGGATTTGATGTCTATCTGAATGAGCATTGGAAAAAAATGTAGACATGGCTAGAAAGGCAAGAGTACTCAGAAAACAAGAAAAAATACAGAATACTTGGACACAAACTGTAAAACATTCATCAAACTGAAAGGAGCCTCTGAAGAGGCTAAGGTTGTGGTCATTCGAGACATTGAGGAACTGGAAGAATACTGAAGTAAACTGAACATAATAAAGAAATGATCAAACTGGTATTGACTGGAGCTGAGTGCAATTATGACAAAACAACTAACCGAAGAACTGGACACCTTCATTTATATTGAACATGAAGCAGTGGATATAGAAAATTATGTTGACCTGGTGGAAATGTATTTTTAAAATATGGATACTTATGAAGAGTTAAAATATACAATGTGAATAGTATGGCTGATTTAAAACTTTTTTCAGAAATCAAAGATTGTGAATATTATAATGAGGAGCAATTTAATGACATTAAAATAGCAAGTGGAGGTTTCTCCATCATTCATTTTAATAGAAGTATAAATGCAAGTTTATCTAAAATAACAGACTATTTAAAAAGTTGAACATAAGTTTTAGTATAACAGCCGTTTCAGAGACCTGGTGAAATGATGAAAATATAAATAACTTTCAAATAGAAGGTTATGGATTATATTATATGAATAGAAGTAATAAAAAAGGTGGGGGAGTTGCTTTAATTATTAAAACAGAAATTAAATGCAAAATTAAGGACAAGATGTCAATACTTGTTGATGTAATGGAAATAATTACGGTTGAGATATTAAATGAGAACTTTAAAAATATAATAATCAGTTGTGTCTGTAGATCACCAGGTTCAAATATAGATCTATTTACTGATAGAATCATGGCGCTCTTTGAAAGAGTTGTAACAAAACATTTTTTGTGTGAGGACTTTAATATTGATTTGGTAAATCAAACTGAATCAAATAATATTTGTACATTTGCGTAGTTTTTATCCATTAATACTTAAACCAAAAGAATTGCATCACACAGTGCTGCAGTGATTGGTAATACTTTTACTAATGTAAGAGATGCTGAGGTGATGAGAGGGATATTGATGACTGATATAAGTGATCATTTGCCAGTTTTTACCATTTGTAAAAATTACCAATGCAGTAAAAAAGTAGCTACAGTGAAGAGGAAAATGATAAATACATTAAAAAAAGCTTTGGATAAATTGAAAGATGATTTGAAAAACTAAAAAGGAAGGATGTGTATGTTGTAAACAGAGCCTGTGATGAGCTACAGAATAGAAGACGAGTTGTTTGTCTTAAACCTTTTTATTTAGTTTAAAATATGTGACCAAGTTCAACTCTGGGTGAGATGGTGAACATTTTCTTTTTCAAACTTTACCTGAAAACACTTCAGTCTGTGAACTATGAGACAAGTAGTTGAAATCTAAAATGTTGTGGACAATCTTCCCTAATGTCAGCTGTGTCCCTGTCCCTTCCTGATGTCAGCTGTGTCCCTGTCCCTTCCTGATGTCAGCTGTGTCCCTGTGTGAGACAAACCTTTGGCCTGCCGGTCATATGACTCTGCCAGGAACTGTTGGATCTTGTCTGAGGGGATGGCGAAGGAGATTCCTGCGGTGACCTTTAGAGTGTTGATGCCGATCACCTCCCCGTCCTGCAGGAGACACACTCGTTAGGTTTGTGTCCAGCATGAGTCTCGTTACACGTCCTCTGACGTCACATCGTTTTTGGTTCAGTAACACGGCTGATAATCAGTCAGCTGTGGACTGAAGACTCATCTGAACACATCAGAGGACTTGGTGGCAGGGCTTAATTTGTAAACTGATCCATGCCGGAACGCAAATAGCAAGCGGGCCAGCTGGGTGGTGGTGGGGTCCTCCCCCAGAAAATTTTGAATAGATGCGACTTCCTGCATTCTGGTGTATTTTAACAGGTTGTTAAACATCTATGTTTTACCTACATTTGTAATCATTCGCATCCTAAATCCCCCCCCCCCCTTACTTGACGGTTCGGAGCGGACTCTTGTCTGCTGAATTCACTGTCCGACTCCCCATGTGAAACCTCCAGGCACTCTGTTAGCATGCACTACACTTTATCGATTAGCACAGATGATGTAACATGTTTCGTTTCATGTAAAAATCGACGAGGAAGCGTCGTCCAACAAGTTGTGTGGACTTTGGTTTCACTGCATGCTCACAATAGAAGAACCTGACAAGTTGTTTAATGACAAAATATACTGTTAGCAAAGAATAGAGTCCTAACATTTATTAAGCATTACTTCTGTATTTAAAGAAAAAAAACGTCAAAATTGTGCTTTAACAAACTCATCGATAAAACATAAAAATTTCATCAACGCTAAAGAGGAAAGAGGAGCAGATATCACTCTTGCTTTGAGTTTAAACTCTTTGTCGCATGCGTGTTGTGGGTGACGAGCGTCCAGAGCGTCATAAAAGCAGCAGCGGAGGACTGGGAGGTGTCGCAGTTATAGATGTACCGTCTCAGCAGCAGAGAGGAGCGACACGGTTCAAGCATGGCTCCCAAATCAGTTGACGTAAATTTTATTTGTTCAAGGCAGTCATATTCGTCCGTCCATCCATCCATCCATCCGTCCATCCATCCATCCATCCATCCATCCATCCATCCATCCATCCATCCATCCATCCATCCATCCATCCATCCATCCATCCATCATCTTCCTCTTGTTCTGGACTCAGGTCTCAGGGCAGCATCTTGTGTAGGGAGGTCCAGACATTTCTTTCACCTCTTCCAGCTCCTCTGGGAGGACTCCAAGGTGTTCCCAGGCCAACAGAGAGACGTAGTCTCTCCAGGGTGTCCTGGGTCTTCCCGGGGTCTCCTCCAAGTCGGACATGACCGAAGCACCTCTCTAGAGAGGCGCCCAAGGAGCATCTTAATCAGATGGCTGAACCACCTCAACTGGCTCCTCTGGATGTGGAGGAGCAGTGGTTCTACTCTGAGTCTCTCCTGATAACTGAACTTCTCCCCTGTCTCTGAAGGAGAGTCCAGCTCTGCAGAGGAAACTCATTTCAACCTCTTGGATCCACGATCTCATTCTTTCAGTCTCTACCAGAGTTCATGACCAGAGGTGAGGGGAGGAACATAGACTGACCGGTGAACAGAGAGCTTTGTCTTACAGCTCAACTTCCTCTTCACCACAACGGACCGGTACAGAGTCCACAATACTGCAGACGCTGCACCAATCCATCTGTCAATCTCACGGTTCATTCTTCCCTCACTCATGAACAAAACTCCACCCTTTTCTGACTGAGGACCATGGCCTCAGATTTGGAGGTGCTGATTCTCATCCCAGCTGCTTCACACTCGGCTGTGAACCACTCCAGTGAGAGCTGGAGATCACGGCACGATGACACCAACAGGACCACATCATCTGCAAAGAGCAGAGATGAAATCCTGAGACCACCAAACCAGAATCCCTCCACCCACTGGCTGCACCGAGCAATTATGTCCATAAAAGTTATGAACAGAATCTGTGACAACGAGCAGCCCTGGAGGAGTCCAACTCCCACCCTGAGGGGTCCGACTTACTGGCGGCAATGGGAGCCAAACTCTTGCACCACTTGTACAGGGACTGAACAGCTCATAATAACGGGCCCCCTATCCAATACTCACGGAACACCCCCACAGTGTACCCTGAGGAACGCGGTTGAATGTCTTCTCCAAGTCCAAAAAACACATGTAGACTGGATGGACAAACTCCCATGGCCCCTGAAGGACCCTAGTGAGGGTAAAGATCTGGTCCAGTGTTCCACGGCCAGGACAGAACCCACATTGTTTCTCCTGGATCTGAGGTTCGACCAACGATCTGACTCACTTCTCCAGTACCCCTGAACAGACCTTACAGGGAGGCTGAGGAGAGTGATGCCCCTATAATTGGAGCACACCCTCCGGTCCCCCTTTTTGAAGAGGGTAACCACCACCCCAGTCTGCCAATCCAGTGGTACTGCCCACGATGTCCACATGATGTTGCAAAGACGTGTCAACCAAGACAGTCCCACAACATCCAGAGCCTTAAGGAAATCAGGGTGAATTTCATCCACCCCTGGAGCTCTGCTGCCGTGGAGCTTTTTAACAACCTCAGTCACAGTTATGGACAGATCAACACCAAAGTCCTCTGATTCAGCTTCCTCCATGGAAGACGTGTCAGTGGGACTGAGAAGGTCCGAGAAGTATTCCTTCCACCTCCCGACGACATCACTGGTTGAGGTCAACAGCAGCCCACCTTCACTGAACACAGTGTTAGTAAAGAGTTGCTTCTCCTCCTCAGCTGCCTGATGGTTTGCCAGAAAAACACAAAAAGAGAAACAAGAAGCAAACATTTCAGACAGCTGACAGACTTCTCAGTAGATTCACCCTGAAGGTCAGACCGTGCAGTGACTCTACAGGCCTCAGTTAGCAGGTCAAAGGTCATAGTCTCTTCTCTCTAAAAACATGACAGCACCACTTATGTTTTTAAAGCTTCATCTGAAGGAACCACAAAACTTCTGATACATAGCCAGACCAAAGGACAGATGTTTACCCAGAATGCACTGCAACAAACACCTCCTCCCAGCTGTCATTACAATGGTGGAGGGCTGATGGTTTGGGTAACTGAGTGGATCAAACAGGCTAAAAACATTTAACAAATAAAAAAGACATAAAAACAAAATGCACTTTCTATTATGAACTCACCAGATTGACTAATGGTCCTCCTGAGTTGCCGTACTGTAAGAAAAACAATGTAAAATATTATCCTCTGTTCTTCTTAAATCTTTAATTCATGTAATGCCTAAAATTCACATGTTGCTTCGATAAACCGTTTGTTTATTTCTGCTCTCTTCCTCAGCAGAAGCCTTGGTCTTCATGATGCTTGATATAAGCATGTTTGTGTTTCAGTCCAGTTTAATACAAAATAGAACTTGTTAAAACGTGACAACAGTTTTTGAATTGGCAGACTTTCTCACGGTGAACTCAGGGTTTGGGTTTCTCTCGTCACTCACATTGATGATGGCGTCCGTCTGGATGTAGTCCATGTCAGAGTTCCGGAGGCCCAGTTCTTTGCCCCCCCTCTGGGTGGTGCTGACGATGCCAGTGGTGACGGTGTTCTGCAGGGAGAATGGGCTGCCGATGGCCACCACAAACTCTCCGGGACGTAGATCTGCGGACCGACCCAGAAGCAGAACCGGCAGCTTCATCTGCTCCAACAGACACACATGATGGAGAGAGGGTTGATCATGACGATGAGGGTGAAAGCAGGATGAAGAACGAGTAAAACATGAGACACATTTAAACAGAAAGCTGTCAGAAGTTAGGACTGACTGGCTCGTTATTCAAAACTACAAAAACTTTATGGAGTAAACTGTCACCGTTCACACTAATGATTTCCTGTGAATAAATTCTTCCAAACGGTTTAGATGCTGCTCAGTAATCCAGCTAGATAATCTGGCCAGGTGGAGTCAGGTCCTCTGGAAGGATTCTTCTTGTAGAAACGTTTCATCATTTATACCATACCACTTTATTTATAAAGCACTTAAAACAGCAACAAGGCCAACCAAAGTGTTGTACAGACAAAACAACAGGTTTTTTTTCTTTTGTATCTTTTATCCAAAGGACTTCTTCAGTCTGAGGAGCTGCAACAAACTCAGTTTTATAAATAGCACCTTCTCATGGTGGATCAAACAGTTTGTTGTTGACGTCCAGAACTAGATGTTCACATGATCAAGAAGGACCATCAGACTAAGGACCCATCGTTAGTGCCCTGATGGCTAATTGCTATTCACAGAGGACTGAATGATACTAGCAATAACGGGGGGGACAGTGGACATGGAGGCTCCACCCCTGTTTAAAGATGAACGGTTTCTCTTCACAAAGATGGTCTCCTTTACTCCTCTGTCAAACCAACGTTCCTCTCTGTCCAGGACTGAACATCTTCAGCCCTGAAAGAGTGACCTCTGACCTGCAGATGAGTGTAGACCTCAGAGTAGATCCACACCAGAGTAGACCCACTCCAGCTTGGTGCCTCTCACCGTGGGTAACTCCAGAGTGGACTAAGGTCCAGCCCCTCTCAGAGCCCATGCTGTGGGTCGAGGTGAGCCTGACTATCCAGCCGGTACCTCTCAACGTCACGCTCCTTGCTGAGCTGTTTTATCCATTTATAAATCAACCTGCTCAGCCTGACCAGGAGAACTTTGATTTGACTTTTGTGACATTTAACGTTTTAAAAATAGTTGATTTCATTTAAAACAAAAATCCTCAGAAATAAACTAAGATCTCCTTTATACTGGATCTGTTTTTGAATTCTTAGCTACTTTTAGTTTTAGCTACATTCTGCTCCTTTAGCTTTAACTTAAACTTGAACTTTTTGTGGGAGTGGTGGTTCAGAGGTTGGAGAAGATGGGCCTGTGATCGGAAAGCCAGAAGTTCAACTCCCGGTACCGTCAATATCAAAATGTGGGTGGAAAAGGTGAAACACCCACACCTGCCTCCACTCTCATTTGCCCCACCCTGGGCCCCTGAGCAAGGCCCTCAACCCCCACCATCTGCTTCCAAAAACAGGTCTCTCTTGAAAATGAGTCCCCGTGACTCAATGAGACTACCTGGATAAATAAAGGCTAAATGAAAAAACAAAAAACTTTGTCTACCAATTTTCTATTTTAGTCAGCTTGACTAATTTTACTAATTATTTTATATCTAGTTCTCATCTGTTTCACTCATTTTACCTAATGCTGAGATAATTTTAGTAGCCTGTGTGTTGATTATTTTACCTTTAATATTTGTTTCAGTAATTTTAGCCACTAACTACTTTAGCTTTGTTGTTCAGTCCTCTCAGATTTCTCCAGCTCGGGCTCAGTCTTCCTCGGGCCGGTCTGTTCATCTGAAAGTTTGCAGACGAGTAAATGAACAGAATTTATTGATGCAGAAAGTTTACAGTCGATTTTTCTACGTCAGAGTGAGAAAACTAAAAGTAAAATGGGTGCAGGGAACAGTCTCCATCGCTGTTTAAAGAACAGAAACAGGCTTTTAAGACACCAAAGAGCTTTTATTTTGAAGGCAGATGTAGGGTTTGTGAGTCGGCTCCCTCTCTCAAACTTAATCAACAGCAGAGGTGACATGCAGGAGCAGAGAGGAGCAGAAGGATGAGGAGGAGGTGCTCAGTGTCTGGCTGCAGCTGTTCAGAGGCTCATCAGAACTTCCTGACAATCCAGCCAAGATGACAGAAAGGCACGAGACGCCCCCGTCAGGCTGAGCCATGAGCTGCAGCTCAGCCCTCAGGTCGTAAACTGTTCTGACCCTGAATCTGACCCTCGGGCTCAGACGAGTCCTGCAGCAGCAGTTCACATCTCGCACCTGATCAGCAGTTTGGTTTTGTCATCAGTCTGACGTGGCAGGAACAAACTAACCTTGAGCTGTGGCTGATGATCTGCTGTGTCTCAGGTTATAGGAACGTGTTTGTGCCTGATGAGAGCGTGAGCTGGATGGAGTGAGCTGGATGGAGTGAGCTGGATGGAGTGAGCTGGATGAAGTGAGCTGGACGGAGTGAGCTGGATGGAGTGAGCTGGATGGAGTGAGCTGGATGGAGTGAGCTGGATGGAGTGAGCTGTACAGAGCGAGATGGATGGAGTGAGCTGGACAGAGTGAGCTGGATGGAGTGAGCTGGATGGAGTGAGCTGTACAGAGCAAGATGGATGGAGTGAGCTGGACGGAGTGAGCTGGATGGAGTGAGCTGGATGGAGTGAGCTGGATGGAGTGAGCTG